TGACGGAGAGAACAAGCGTGTGCAAATATGGACAGGGTGGAAGACGGACTGCAAGAAGTACTGACAGACTCTTGGCAATACAGAGGTACGATCTGACGGAGAGAACAAGCGTGTGCAAATATGGACAGGGTGGAAGACGGACTGCAAGAAGTACTGACAGACTCTTGGCAATACAGAGGTACGATCTGACGGAGAGAACAAGCGTGTGCAAGAAATGGGACGGGGAAGGGTTGGAGACTTAAGAACGAACACATCTGTCGCTTACAGACTGACGTACAAACCGTGAGAGCGAATGTGAGAAGAAGTAAAAACACATGAGGTGGCAATAAAAACATGCAAACACTGACGGACTCAAAGACTGACGTAGAGCACCAGAGAGACAGGCGGAGAGTGCCAGAAAAAAAAAAACCTGAGGGTGTGGGGGAAAGTGGTTCACCAGACTAATGGAAATGATTCTATTTGCTGGGAAGACAATCGTCTCCACGCCTGGCACGTGCTAACTGGTAATTGCGACCTGAGGGCGAGTAGACCGCGCGCAGAACCCTGTGAACTAGGTGTGTGTGTGCGCGCGTGTGTGCGAGAGAGAGAAGGGGACGGGGTGGGGAAGAGAGCCTTGCGCGCGAATGAGAAAATGTTTTCATTAGCCTACCAAAGTGGAAATACAGTAGGAACGTAATGAGAAAATCAGGACACGAACTGCTGAGAGACGAGAAAAGATGGAGAGATGGGAGAGAAATAAGATGTATGAACGGATGGAGGGACAGACAGACCATATACCTTCTATGCACAATGTACAGACAAGCAAACGGCAGAACCGCCTGTTGTGTTAACGGGGCCCGCATGGAAAGTAAGAGCAGTAACCAGGTCATCTTATCATGTCGTAAGATGCGGTTAAGGGTGGTTGGCGTGGGACTCCGAACCTCACCTCGCAGAACAACTTCAGCTGAAAACTGCATCATCAATCATGAAACATTTCACACACAAATCCTTGATTGAGTTCGAGGGCCTCATCTGGGTGTGGGGGGATAGGCCCACTGTCTCGTCCATAACAGCCATGTCGTAAAAGGAGTCTGTTATAGGTTTTGTGAGATACGGGTGTGTTGGGTCCAATATCGCTGATATCACAGCATAAGCTTTAAAGCATTAGGTATGATGCCAAGTGCCCGTTTAAAAGGGGGAATGCAGATGAATTAAAAAAATTACCACGTTCAGGTTATGTAAACAAAACGATCAGGTGGTAAATTTGAAACTGTCATGTTAGTCGGTCGGCTGGTGGCTAAGTCGATGAGAACGCTTCATAATGCCGGGATGCCGGGTTCGATCCCAGCTGCGGGCCATGCGCCTTGCGTTGGTTCCGACAGTGGTATCAAGAACGCCGACCGTCCAGTAAGCAATGGCACACTACTGGACGTAAATCTGCCTAGAAAACCCACATAACAGCTAGGGGCTGTTGGGGTTGGTTCTGCAATGTCCTGTAAAGAATACGCAACTAACCCCATGTTAGTCGCGTGACTATCTTGAACTTCCGGTGGTGAGCTGAAGTGTGTATCTATAGAAGACAATTCGATTTGTGTATTTCAGTGGAGAGGATTCATGCTTTGTGCTACATTATATGTCGATGTAACTAGGCAGTAATGCAGCCGACGAGATACAGCAAAATATGCCAGGCCTTATCATGTACTTGACAGCATTGCTTAAATTCACTATATGAAAACGTTGCTTTCAACATAGCGATCAGTTTCCCCAAATACCAGTATAGTTAGACAAGCACCGTTGTGAGAAACCTAACAACCAGACAAAGAGAAGACATTTCCAAGAGCAGCGGAAAGGTTAGGCAATAAACCAAAACACAAACCAGGGCCTCAAACAGACGGTGCTAGAAGACGGGTACATGTGCGAAAGGAAGCTGGGACACATGTGGTAAACGTAGCGGGAACAAAGGGAAAGAGAGAGAGAGTAAAGGAAAGAGAGAAGAGGGTAACCAAGGGGACGAAGCTGCAGGTAGAAGGGCAAGGGTGAAAGGGGCAAGGGAAGGAAGCTGAGTGTAACCAGGAAAAGAGAATAACGGAGGTAGGAATAAAGAAACGGAGTTAAGGGAAGTACGCAGAGAGAGAGAGAGAGAGAGAGAGAGAGAGAGAGAGAGAGAGAGAGAGAGAGAGAGAGAGAGAGAGAGAGAGAGAGAGAGAGAGCAGGACAGAAAGAAAGAGAGAGAGAGAGAGGGGGGGGGGGAGAGAGAGAGAGAGAGAGATGAAAAAGGAGTTGTCTGACAGCATCATGTGCCACCAGTCTGCGGTGCCCAACTGGTACAGTTTCTCAAGTATTTAATCTCACAAATGTTTATTTGAAATAAAAAAGTGTCTTTAAAAAAAGTTACTGAAATCAAGTAAAATACAATTTTCCACACCTTCAGGGGCTTAGGGCAGATATGGCTAGACCTAGAATTTTTAGATCAATCAATACTCAGTGGATGACGCTGTCAGCATCATGCCGGCCGCCTTGACTTCGCAGGACTATTTCTTCTTCATCTTTGTTCACCGGCTGTAAGCTCCAGTGGCAAGTCCTAGCTGTTTGTCCGTGTGGACTGTGGCTTTGTGCCAGGGCCTGAGTTTTGCGTGTACAGCCATTTTACTGCAGCTGGCTGTTCCTTGCCACTCGGGCACATGCACTCTGACTTCGAAGGAAGCTCCCAATTACACGACTCCTACGACATGCTTGTTAGGGAGGCAGTGAGTCTATTCTTGTTTGCCCCAGAACCCTCACAGGGAACCTCCCAGGACTTTACCTGGTACCTACTCAAGGCTAAGTAAAGTCCAGCTCCATTCGGATTCGAACCCATGGCTTTCAGATCTGCAGGTGAGCATCTAGCTGCAACACCAAGGTGGCTCCCATGATACGATTTGGCTATTTATTCTCTAGCTTTGCATATTTGAATGCCCAATAGAAAATGTCTGAAGCAATAGCCTTGTGTAAGGCAGTATAAGAAATATTTGATCATCATCTCCATCTGTTAACAAATCCATACATTCCAAATTGTAAAATCTCTAGCAAAGTGTGAGGCAGAGACCACAACCGGACAAAGTGCTCAAGGAACCTACTGTTTCCCCCTCCCCCAATCTCCAATAAATAGACATTTGATCCACTACACTAGATTCATTGGCAGTATAGTAACCTCTCAAAAACTGAACTATGACAGAAAATGGACCAGTAAGAGAAAAAAATTATAACCTGTTTAAATCAACACTAATTACTGGTAAAGGTAAAGGTGATAGGATCGACTTCATTGCGCTGGGTTTTATCCCATATGGCTCAGTCTCTCTCCGCAGAACAGGTAGCTGTCTGCCGAGTGTGTCGCAGAGAGCACCACCTCTGTAGCCCCAGCAATGATCCCCAGAGATCTTCGTAAAAATTGCACCCGTGAACTGATCGGCACCGCTACAAAACCTTCAACCTTCAGAGCGCGATGCAAACGGCTTGACCACTTCGCTGCGGAGACAGCCCCCACACACACAAATTACTTGCCTTGTGAAAGGTCATAAGACGGCATGTAATGGTTAGGGCATACAGGCAGAATGGCAGATAACTAAGAGAGAAAACAGGCTATACAAAAAAGCTGAATGGGAGTAGACCACAAGGGAGACCAACAAGATGGTGGACAGATGATACACATACAGAAATACAAACCCCTGGAGTCACCAAGGGGAGAGAGAAGGCCAATCAGAGAGATGAATGAAAGCTGGTGATATCTGCAGCAACCAACCTCAAGGGCCTGGAATGCTGAATAAGACACTTCAGCCAATTCCCAAAACAGTGTGAATGAACGCCACTGGCTGAAAATGAAGCAGCAGCTGGTAGAGTGGTTAAGAATCTGGGGCTCTCATTATGTCAGGTGTGCAAAAAAACAAAAAAAACTTAACCTGCACAGTTCGTGGCAACTGCACTAGCCAGGCGAGCCTAAATTGTTAGATTCAAGACTCAAACCCCCTCCCCCATACAGAACCATGAAACAGGCAGTAAACAGTATTTTTGTTAAAATAATTTGTTTAACAACCTGAGGTAAATGAGGATACCATATGCAAGGTACTGAGATATTCATGAAGCACACAAGCACACTTAAAGATATGTAACTAATGGGTAGAAGGCATAGCATGGACATGGAAAAAAAGGGAAACAACTCTCAAACTGATCAAGGTAGTGATGACTAATGGGAGAAAACGGCAATTGTAAATCCATTAAGGGGAAGTAAATGCTTAAATGAAGAGGACAATCTTATTTTGCCAGATATCTCAGGAAGTGTGTGAAATAGATTCAAATGTGGTTCTATGCTCCCTGCTAAGATTTTAATTATAGGCTTTAGAAGGAAAGAAACAGATCAAATGTGTAGTCAACTTTTAACTCACATCATTTCTTACTTGGGAAGAAACAACCTGAGATGAGGCATAAAGAGAGATCACATACACAGAGATTAATATTTGAAAAACAAGACTTGTATACCCACTAGGATTGCACAACCAGCGATTACAAGAGCCCACTCACATATTACTACAGGTTACTTGCTAACCATTATTTAGAGCCTCAATATAACTGCTGTATGGCTATACTGTTGAAAGGGGTTTCCCGTGATTTGCAAATGCAAATCTGGAGGGGACATCATACTATTTTTTTTTTAAATAAATAGAATACATCTCCCCCTCTTCCCCCCCCCCCTCCCACATACACATAGAAACAGAGAGAGGGGGAGAGAGAGAGAGGGGGAGAGAGAGAGAGAGAGAGAGAGAGAGAGAGAGAGAGAGAGAGAGATAGAGAGAGATGTTAATGAAAAGACAAAACAGAAAAGACGTACACAGAGACAAACAGATTTATAGGGAGACAGACAGGAGGAAAGATAAAGAAAAAAGTGTACAGTAAAATGCAAACGAACAGAGAAAAAAGACAAACAAAACAAAGACTTACATTCAGAGGCATACAAACAGAAACACCTAAAGAGAAAACAAGAAACTTACCAGATGAGGAGCATCCAAGTGTCCCACCATCATGCCACCTGGATACGAACTCATGGCACCCAACACACCCACTGGATGGCCTGATGGCAACATTGGAGGTGGCAGCCCTGGGTGGCCTCCAGGCAGAAACGGCTGTCCTTCTGCATGTGTCCGCAACACATGGATAGCATCATCCAAATCTAGCCGCTCCTCCATTCTGCTCTGGAGAAACATTAAAGAACGACACAAGATTAACAGATTCCTCTGCATTTCTTAGAAAAAACAAGCAATTAAACTTTATTATACTCATTTAAATTAGGTATGAGCCAAACAGCTCTCTGCCAGTGTCTTTCGTGCTGAACAGACTCCAGAACATGTCCTGCAAGACTGTCCTCTCTTGGCGAAGCTGCGGAGCAACATATGGCAACACCCAGTAGAACTGACATCTAAGCTTTGGGGAAACCTAAGAGACCTTGAGACAGCACTCCCAGTTTATGTCCACAGTGGATTATGCGCATGACCAGAGATCGCTGAAGAAGAAACTTCATTTTTAAAACAAGTATGATTGGGAACACAGGCCTAACATTCTGTCCTTTGGCCTCATTCCTTGGACAGACAGTTTTATTCATACATCCTTTAAAAGGTAATGATGAAGATGACAATAATGAATAAACATCATTGACAACAACTAAATATTAATTATAAAACCCTGATATGTGCTCCAATTATACCCACATTTCTTAACAACAATAACTAACAAATGTAGGGAAATAATCTATCAATCCTCATTGCGCCCAGAGGCACATAAGGCATAGACAAACTGTCGCCACTTAATTCGATCCTGAGCCATCCTCTCTATCCCCAGTTGTGACCTTCGCGTAACCTTGCAAGTTCGTTGATTTCTAAATTTTCATCATTTAAGTCTGTCATTTGTGGTAATATAGAAATGATATTTTATCTTTCTTTGTAAACCCCAACAATCTTTTGAGAAGTCTTCCCTCAAAACCTCTGAGCATGCTTTCTATCTTTCTGTCTGTTTTCCAAGTTTCTGCTCCACATAGGAGAACTGTCCTAACGCATGTTTTGTATATGTGGGTGAGGGATGGGAGGGTGGGGGGTTTATGACCTACTGTATCTTAACATTCGGCTCTGTGGCTAAGTCGATGCGAACGCGTTGTAATGCCAGGATGCCGGGTTCGATCCCAGCTGCGGGCCATGTGCCTTGCGTTGGTTTCGACAGTGGTATCAAAAAACTGACTGGCTTTAAACTGGTGGAAAGTTCTGGTTTTTTAATGACATGCTCGTTAGGAGGTAGTGGGTCTATTCTTTTAGGCTCAGCTTCCCTTGCAGATTGAGTCTTATTTTGCGGGAGAAGAATAGACCCAGCCCTTCCCCTGAAAGAACTGAATCATATAAGGCCAATAATTACGGGTTTGCTGAAATTTGTTGGGTAAAAAGTGTAGATATCACAGCCTAGCTGAAACTCACAACACTCCAACCACTCTTATAAGCATGAATGCAGAAAACTGAAGAAGAAGAAAAACAAGAAGAAGAAGATGAGGAAGAAGGGACACAAATGAGGGTTGAGTTAAAATAACTGGTTTGGAGTTTTCAAACTTTTGGGTCGCCAAGCAAGTGTTTAGCCAATGCATTCCCACCTGATGTCTATGCTCTGTAGAAAAATTAGAAGGCAGAGGAAGCAGGATTAACAATTAGCTTAACAGGCGCAATTAAATCTCCAGTTCTACAAAAGTCTGAATTGAGGAATACCTGGAATCTCAATCAGGGCAAACAGATGCTGCAGCAAAGGGGTTTAACCACTGGTTTTGATACTGCACTTTATCACCCTCATAAAGGTCTGTCCACTCTGAGCTGTCTCGTTCACGCACTTTCTCTTCTTAAAGATTTTTCTCTCTCACGCCAGATATTTTAGTCAGGCACATACTTTCATATGCATTCTGGCATTAATTTTCTCCAAACCTAATCTGCATTATGCTGCTTTCTCTTTCTCTCTATTCTACAAGTCTGGAACTACTGAAATACAAAATAAGCCCCCCTTCTTTTTTCCATAATATTATGTACCAGCATGGTCACCTCATGCACTCAACGATAGATAACTGGCTTGGTATAACAGCAACCAATCAGATGTGGGGGAGATGTAAGGATCTTTTAGTTCTTTCTAATGTGTTTGTAAACTGAATATTATTTCTTCAACTTGTTCAATACCAAAGGATAGTCTAATTAATTAGAAATCCACACATGATATGTTCCTTGGTACTGAAAGAGTTAAGGCTGTTCCTGATTCAGTCGTTCAGTCTTCTGTTCACTCTTTACCTTGCTCTGCCTTAACTCTTTGAGTCCCAGGGGGTTTAGCATCACAGGCCCAAGGGGTAGTCAAGAGAGACATAAAATTAGCGCATTATACGCTCATTGGGCCTCTAGGTAGGAATCTATGAACGTATGATGCATTCCTTGGGACTCAAAGAGGTAATTATATTTCTCAGCATGGCACCCCGTGGCAAATGATACTAAAGCATTCTCATCAGATGATCAAACCATCTTCCTATTGCTCTTTAATGAACTGTGTAAGTGGCCGTCATCCTAGTTTTTTTCATTTCTTTGTTTTGATCCCCTTTGCCCCTAGAAGCCACTTTACCAACTTGTCTATACTGGCCTGTTTACACGCATCCTTAATGCTTATGGCTATTGTTTTTTTGTGCACCTCCACAAATGTTTAAGTGGGCCAGCATACAAATACGATTAACTAAGTAGTTAGCTTTCGAGACGGATGACCTTATTAAAGCCAAGCGGACATTAAATGTTCCCGTAAGCCTCAGTGACAGAGGTCATGGTGTCAGGGCAAGTCACCTGATACATGTTGTCATGGTGTCAGGGCAAGTCACCTGATACATGTTTTTTTTTAGGCCCAGGGGAATGTATTCCATTTAATTCTTTACCTTTTTCGTTTACTGAATACTCTTTATATATTTCTTAATGGAATTCCAATGAAGGTTATGACTCATTTCATTAATATTTCTAGGGTGACAGGCTTAATTTTATCAACCCCTCATGCATCCACTGAATTCAACTCCAAACTTACCAAGGGATGCAGGGTGCCATGTGCCGTATCATAATGTGAAGCTGCACCTGGGTGACCTGGAGGTCGATTCCAATGCTGTGGTCCACCACCTCCACCTGTTAGAAAGAATATATTTATAACTGATATTACAAAAAAATCATCCAGAAAACAATTTATAACACATGAATATCAACAATACTGCATCAACCTATGGGTTCCGGGGCCCTATTATAGGGAAAACAAGAACAGACCCACTGCCTACCCAAAAGCATGTCGTAAGAGTCGACTGATTGTTAGCTTCCTTCAAAGTCGGAGTGCATCTGCCCAAGTGGCAAGGAACCAACAGTCTGCACACAAATGTGTCAGTTCTGTCAAACGGATGCACACACAGCACTCAAGTTTTGGAACAGGACTGCAGTCCAGAAGTGGATGAACAACCAGAACTTTCCACTAGAGTTTACGCTGGTAAACACAAAGAAGAAAGAAGAAGACTGCATCAACAGTAATGAGAAAAAGAAGATGGCAATACACTGGGCATGAGGAGAAGCCAACAGAGAATCACTAAACATGTACTAAAAACTGAAACAAATGGATTGAGATAACAAGGTCATCCAAGAGAAACCACAAAGTGAACAATGCAGAGACGTGCTGATCTAGATTCCCTCCATGATTTAGAAAGGACTGCACAGAATGTGAGGCCCTACCTGACACAAAAGGAATGATGTTATCTACATTACAAACTAACAAGAAACAATGACAATAGACAACACAGTTCTAGAACAGAAGGAATTATGAGATACCCCACATCAGTAATTTAAAAAAGTCAACTGATTGATGAGTGAAAAAATGAAAGAACAAACTTTATTTTTCAAGGGTCGCAAAAATGGTATGGACTTACAGCACATTTGGCCCTTCAGCTATTCATCTTTCACATAGTCATTTATTTATATATTCCCTGTGTGGTTTTCAGGGCCCCATTGTGGCTAAAACAAGAAAAGACCCACTGCCTCCCCCAAAAAGCACGTCATAAAAGGGCTTCCTTGGAAGTAGGAGTGCATCTACCTGAGAGGCAAGTAACTAACAGTCTGCATACAAATAAGTCAGATCTGTAAAACAGACATGCCCCTCAGGTTCAGGAATAAGACTAGAGTTTACAGGTGGATGAACAACTAGTTTACAGCCAGTCAACGTGTAGATGAAAGGTATCTGTATTTAATGTTAAATGCAGGTTAAGATAACTAAGCACTGAAGATATGAATTTTGACTACAAACACAAGAGCATGCTATGAAAAAAAAAACAATGCATATGCAATACATTCTCTATACACAAAGAAATTAGATGTAATAGTCGAGATTAGTAAAAAATCTGTTTCCAACCTGCAACCCTGGCGGAGAATAAGCAAAACAAAGAGATATATACTTGGATAGCTGGACAAAATAGCTAGAGTGGGACAAGACGACAGACCGGACACCTCTGTGAATGAAAACAACACCAAAACATATCTTACCTGGCACAGGTGGAGGAGAGGACACCGGACTGGTGGGACCTGATCCGTCATAACTGCTGTTTGTCTGTTCAGTTGAATATATCTGGAGAAGAAACACACTAAATGAGACTATGTGAGATGATGAATAAAGGTAAGGGGAGGATGGACATGGGATAATGGGTAGATCTGAGTGTAGCCAAAAGTTCAACTACATTCTAGTAGCAACCTTTAGCCACCCTGCATGGTGTTCTAGCCTGTCTTCACTAGTTCTGTTGACTTGCTGTTCATTTGTGTGTGCGCCCTTATTTTTTTTTATATCCAGCAAGGAAATCAACAGTTACAATTTTAAGAGCACTGTAGCAACACAGAGAGGTGGGCCGTAGACTTTATCTTCAAAGTCCCCTTCACCAAGGCGGCCATCTTGGTGGAGCGGTTAATGCTCGCCTGCGAATCGGAAATTGTAGGTTTAGGTCCTGGCAGGGCCTGACATTTTTCAAAAATGACTTTGGCTCCCAGGATTCCCAGCCTTAAATGGGTACCAAGTACAGTCCTGGAAGACCACATCACCCACTGAGTGCCAGCTGGCCTATAAAGGTTTAGCCTTATATGCCCAATAAGCCTGCAGGCGTGAAACTTTACTTTATTCTCTCTCTCTCTCTCTATGTATATATATATATATATATATATATATATATATATATATATATATATATATATATATATATATATATATATATATATATATATATATATATATTCTGATGATGATGAGGGCAAAGTGGGATAGAGGGGTCTTAAGCCTGGGGATTCCTAGCTTTTGTACATGTGTGTGCATGTGTGCACGTGCCTGACAGTGAGGATTCGAATCAGGGTTTCCTGAAACAGAGCCTAGAGCTACTCTTTCTGTTCATGCAATTTGGTCTAAGTCTATAGATTCACTGTCATTACCTAATTTGTGTAAGGCATTCAATACATCAGCATGGCTTGCCAATTTGTCATAGTAGTGCGGCCAGTAAAGCTATCAGCATGTTCACTTTCACTTGCATCAGATCCACCCAACACACCCAAATTAAACATAAACACCCCCCCCCCCCCCCCTTTTGTTCTGCTGTTCTGGTAAACCAATGCACACTCCATCAACAATGAGGGGTTTCTGTGGTTAAATGGTTATGCTGTGTGCCACATGCTCTTAAGGTCATGGATTTGTTTCCTAGACAGTCAATTCAGTTCAAGAGTGCAATTTTCATGGAGATCCTAGAAACAGTTACTAGAGCTGTGGAGTTTTGGCTTTGTGTGGTGCTCCCAGGAAGCAGCTACCTGTTCAGTGAAGAGAGTCTGAGCCATTCAGAAAAAAGAACACAGATATGAATTTGATCTTGAACGGAACCTTTTAAACAGTCAACCCATCAATTGTAATAATTAACACAAAATACAACAGTGCAGTTCACCGTCAGGTGTAACACTTAACAGCATTTACACACCAAGACATTTGTTATAAAAGACGGAGCATCTAAGGGTATGCCGTAGGTGCTTTATTAATATCCTACCCCAGATGATGTCACAGAACAGTCCAACATTTAGATGGTGGTAAGACTGGGTTTTTCGGTTGTCTGTTGCTTTAAACGAATCCAAAACATCCAGAATTGGCCCTAACCCCAACCCACCTATGCCCTATGAAAGAGTGCAGCCTAGGACCCATGACTGCATGCAGCCTAGGTCCCAAAACTGCATGCAGCCTATCTACTACCCCTGAAATATCAGACTGTCCCGTGACCTGTGGATTTCCCCATTTGGGGTAGGAGATTAATAAAGCACCTATGCTGTGTATGCAATGATGTTTATTTCAAATCAGTAATCATACCATTCAACATAAAACAACACTGCACAGGACAACTCACAGAAGCTAGAGCCTTGCCCACTGCAATACCCGAAGATCCTGAGACTGGTGGCCGAGGTAACAAATCAGACCCGTTGACTGCAGGGGAAGGGGTTCCAGCTGCATAGCCTGTACTCGAGGAAGGCACACTGGCTCCTCCGACCGGCTGGCCACCACGAAAGGAGGACATAGGGGGCAACCCAGAGGAAGAGGACAGCTGTGGATCTTGGCTAGGGGAAACTGGGTGGAGGTATGGCTGGAAACAAAATACATTATTATTATACTGATTATAATGACTTCTAAACAAACTGAAAACATGATGTATATGTCAGCTTTACAGAACACATGGCAATAAATACAGTTAATTTTCTCAGATTTTCATAGCAGTACTGCAGTCAACTTATTTCATTATGACTCGTGATATAAAATATATAAGGCATACAACAAACCATGGCTGACCAACAAAAATATCAGAGAACCTTGCAGTAGTATAAAATGTAATATTTTCAAAATGATAAAAACAGTATAAAAGTGATTTTAAAAAAAAAAAACAGTAAAAGGAATGCCACTACTTTCTTATGATAAAAATATGATTATATATCTGTATGCTAAAAAGTACCATAATACATTCTTGCAATAATAAACACCATTCTGAATCCTTATGACAGAATAATTATCCTGATAACTATTATAAAACTAATACTATATTATATTCATGAAAAGAAATAAAACCATAAATCAGTATGATAACATAACTACCGCCATCTATTATTTTGATAAAATACAAACTATCAAATATGACACATAATTATAATAATACAAAAACCCACCATACATCATTTTGATAAGACAAATCCACCATACATGATTATGATAACATTAATCTACCATACATCACTGTCACAACACAAAAACTATCATAAATCATTACCATAATGCAAATATTTTAACATAAATACTCCCATATATCGTTATAATTAAAATACCACAATATATCATTATGATAGCCAAGGGGAAAAAAAATACCAACAGCCATCATTTTAACAAAAATACCACCTTATGACACGATAACACAAACAAAGTGGAACTTTCGGATACAAATTTTCAGGATTCAAGATAAGGTTCGACACACAAAAATACAAGGCAAAACCCAAGATATGAGCTGGAAAGAAGAGAACTATCAGCATAACCAGACAGCATCTTAATCATGTTTCAATAGATTAGGTCAAGTAAACACTGATAAAGTATGACTTCAGCCAGTTGACAAAGCACTTGATGATGATGAACTGTAGCATTATGGTCATAAGTTATCCTGTTTTTCGAAGCAAAAAAAAAAAAAAAGTGCCACTCATTTTCCCCAATAATGAAATGAAAAATTGTCATACTTCTTTGGATTTTTGTGGGTTTGGAATTAACTAAAATATTTACATTGACTTTGATAGAGAAAAATAGTTTCAGGATCTGAGTCATTCACGCTTGGTCATGGAACGGATCAACTGGTATCCTGAGGTTCCTCTGAACCACACATACAACTGCTTAATCAAATACAATCAATATTATGTTAATACAAACATACACACCACTTTATATCACTGTGTTAACACTAATACTACCATACATAATTTTCTTAACCCATGATATGAACAACTGCATTCAAGAACTACAAGCCAACAAAGAAAAATACATTCTCACCAAGCCTCCGTGATGCTGCATGTTCGGAGGAAAGGAAGACTGTTGTGAATATCCTCCGGAGGATCCCGGGAGGTGTGAGGACGGGTAGGAAGATGGGAGGGAACTGGACCATGGTTCCCCTGGCACTGAAGATTGATCTGGAGGAGCAAGAGAATGAGCAAACAATAAACAGACTGGAGAATTAATGACAATTTGCTGCAAAAGGCTATTCTTTTTCTACTTCAGCATTCCGAGCCCTTGAGGCTCAATGCTGCAGATAGAACTAGCCTTCCTTCATTTTTATGAATGGCTCTCTCTTTCCTGTTGGTTCCCAGTGTTTGTAGGAATGTCTGTATATTATCCATCCTGTCTTCTTGATCTGCCTCATGGTCTGCTCCTATTCAACTCTTTATATGCAGTTGTCTTCTGTCTCCTTGTTATCTGTAATCCTTTCTATTCACCCCAGCCACTGCAGTCTATTAGCCCTCATGATACTAGCAGTTAGTGGTTACTGAAACAGATTAAGACTTTTTATTGCTGCTTTTCAATGTCTATTTCCTGCTGTTCATTTATGTCTTCTTCTTCTTCACATTCACCGGCTGTAAACTATGGCTGAAAGTTCTGGTTATTAGTCCACTTCTACAACGCCTGTTTCAGAACCTGAGTAGTGGACTGTTACAACATGCTTTTCGGTAGGCAGATGGGGAGGTACAAGGAATATATCACACAATTTATTGCCAGGCAGACTTTACTGCACACAACAGAATTTACATCACCATATCGCTAATGTTTTTTCACTTGCCTCTTTTTTTGTCATCCCAACTGATAGTGCTGCATCGTGCTATGAAGAAGCATGGCAATCAAAGATCATGACCCCAGGAAATGGTACTAGCAAGATCCACTCACCAGGGATGTTCATCCTCTCCATAGCAAAGCCTGGATTGTACTGTAGAAACCAGGTACTGCCCATGCAGCATGATCCCTCACTCTGCCTGCTTCAACTCTTTGAGTCCCAAGGAGCGCATCATACGTTCATAGGTTCCTACCTAGAAGCCCACTAAACGCAAGATGCGCCGATTTTACGTCTCTCTTTACTACCCCTTGGGCCTGGGATGCTAAACCCTCAGGGACTCAAAGAGTTAAGTAAGTTGAGCTGAGCCAATAACTGACATCACTGCATTCGGGCATTGCCATGCATGCTCTGTCCTCGTCTTCAGCAACCAGTGCAGAGTTCCAATACTGATGGTACCGATCACAATCTGGTTATATGTCCGTCTTGCCTTTTCTCTGAGTGTAGTGAGCTGATCAGACCCTCTGGTTACACCCAGGTGTCTCATTCTCTCCAGGCCATAATAATCTTCTTTCTCTACCGATTCCGTTTAATGTCCCTAAAGGGCCTTGACCACATCTGCATGGTCATGCACCCAGTGGTGCAGATCCAGCCAATCTGTCTGCCTGTTCATTACCCACCACGCTGGCATTGCCTGGAGAAAAGATCCCAAGTATGCTTCCTACCCGTGACCTTTCCAGTAAAGCTTGTCACTCTGATTGAAGCATCCCTAACTTCACCTTTCTCAGCATGCTTTCAGAGTCTGTTACATTTACGACATGTTACGCATCTTGTTCTCTAGCCACCGGAGAGCTGCAGTTACCGCCTCCACCTCCATTCTCATGCTAGATGTTGTGGTGTCATTTGCTAGGCTGTCTTGCACTAAAGATTATCCATTGGCTTTCGCTACAAACCCCCAGGAATTTCACTTTCCTCTCACCACCAAACCATCTGTACAGATAATCAGATCACCTGGGCGTGAATTGCCTGCTTTATTAACATTAAAAGGTAACACCCAAACATTTAGAATAAACCTTGTGGCACAAGTTGCGGGATCAAAATAGCAGTGCTCTGTCTGTCCGAGTGTCAGAGCTCCTCTCTTACAACAGCTGCCAGCAAAGGCTAAAGGCCTGGTCTGCCCTACATTAACATATAATGAAGCCTAAAGGAAACCTTCAAACTGAATTTACCCAGTCAGTCGGGGCATGGTGTCCGCCTAGAGTGCTCAAGTTTCCGGGCTCAATCCCCAGTAAGGGCTGGGACTGTTTCACGTAGACTTGGACTTCTAGTAATTCCCCCCGGTCTGGGTAGTGAAATCGGACGCTCGTGTGCATTGTTGCATACATAAAAAATCCCTTGGCAGTTGGAAATCGAAAAGAGTAGCCTAAAAGCGCTGCCCTGGCAAAATCTGGAGTTAAAAATCTACCCTAAGTTGTTTAGGATCCTCCCCAGTGTTACAGAGCCTGTGCACTGTGCTGAGCTTCTTTGGACTCAGACTTGAGTTAGAAGAAGAACGAAGCACTTATGGGTTACTACCGGTGTGCCATGGTGTTGATCCGTTGTTCAAACTTCAACTTTAACTAACCATGTGTTCCTTCTTAAAACAAAAAGTGATCAGTCCAAGACTGCTGTGATAAAATAAAGTGTAACAATAGACTACCCAGCACTTGTCGTCTGTTTGTCTTACTGGATAATTTTTACATTTAGTAGTCAGCAATACTTTCTGAACAGTTCAAGCTGCAGCTGAATTGAACTCTGTATGTCAGAATTTTGAAAAGACACTCCTAATGTCTAGGCCTCAGATACCCAGTAATTATGACTTCATCATGAAATGGAAGCCAAGTGGGTAAAGTGGCTTGACGATTGAACTACTATTTCCTGTAGGTATAAAGATGCTGAATTCTTCTTCTTCTTCGTGTTCATCAGATGTTAACTCCAGCAGAAAGTTCTGGTTTTTCATCCACTTCTGGACTTGCGTCTTATTCCAGAACTTGAGTGTTGACTGTTGATTCACCCCAGGCAATGAACTCTGACTTTAAGGAAAGCCCCCTAGTCAATCAACTCTTACATGCTTGTTAGGGAGGCAGTGGGTTTATTCTTGTTTTCCCCTTAATGTGGCCCAGCAACCCATATGGGGAATCTTGAATTCAAATCCTCATTAGGTCGACCTAGTCTAAATGTAGGTGATTCAAATCCTCATTAGGTCGACCTAGACTAAATGTAGGTGATTCAAATCCTTATTAGGTCGATCTAGTCTAAATGTAGGTGATTCAAACCTCTTGTCAACTTCTAAATGTCGGTGATTCAAATCCTCATCAGGTCTACCTAGCCTAAATGTAGGTGATCAAATCTCATCAGGGACCTAGCCTCAATGTAGGTGATTCAAATCCTCATCAGGTCGATCTAGCTTAATGTTGGCCCAGTCAATCCTCATCATGGGGACCTAGTCTGAGGTGATTCAAATCCTTATTAGGTCGACCTAGTCTAAATGTAGGTGATTCAAATCCTCATTAGGTCGACCTAGCCTTAATGTAGGTGATTCAAATCCTCATCAGGTCGACCTAGCCTAAATGTAGGTGATTCAAATCCTCATTAGGTCAACCTAGCCTAAATGTATGTGATTCAAATCCTCATCAGGTCGACCTAGCCTAAATGTAGGTGATTCAAATCCTCATCAGGTCGACCTAGCCTAAATGTAGGTGATTCAAATCCTCATTAGGTCGACCTAGCCTTAATGTAGGTGATTTAAATCCTCATCAGGTCGACCTAGCCTAAATGTAGGTGATTCAAATCTATATTAGGTCAACCTAGCCTAAATGTGGGTGTCAAGAAGGGTCCTGGAAAGCAACAGCGACAGGTATGCTGACCACATCATCCATTGAGTACCAACTGCCACACAAAATATGAGCCTAGGATCAAATGCATGATGCCCTGCTGGCGTAAAAGGCCCTTTATTTCTCACACTTACCCATAAAATACTCCCCATACATGCCTGGCTTTGGGGAATGATATCTTGGGGAGTCTTGAGAGAAATCCTCCGGGCCTGGGGAATACACCTGTAGAGAGATAGAGAAACATGAATGAGGTTATTTTTGGAATTTACAAAGGCAAACTAGCACCACAGCTATGAGAAGGCATGGGACTCGAACAATCCATGGCGATGGCGAGTGTGACCAGCAAGATCCGCCCACATCAGAGAAATGCTTCCACACTTATAGCATGGGGATTTCAGGATTTGCGTTTAATGTGCTTCTCCTCAGATGCTCAGCAATACGGTCCATGGCATATTGTTACCCACAAATCCATATCAATACCTGTATCATTCATGTCCCGCTTGCACACAACATTATACATTTATATAGTAGGAGATTTCTGCTTCGACATCTTCTACCCATACCTCTCTACTGTTCTCCATTCTCCATGTGTGACCCAACCACCTGAGCCTTGGTAGACTGAGCACCGAGAAACCGGTTGTAATATCTGCTCTTCCCAATACCTCATCACCACAGTGAGAGTATGTTAATTATGATGAATGCTCTTATTCTTTTAGGGTCTCTGTGGTGAAGAGTTCCTACCATCTGTCTCATACTCAGAAGATCATGAGAGTCCATTTTACGGGAAGATTCAGGAGGATAGTTTCTGGGGCTATGGAGTTCTGCTTTGTGACACTCTGACCAGACAGGTAGCCATTCTGCAGAGAGTTGTCAAAAACTATGTGGGATAAACCTGATGCAAAGGTCAATCCTCTTAACCTTAAAACTTGAGTCTCTTCTTATCTTCCTAGTTACATCAGCAAAATTGGGGGGGGGGGGGGGGATGGGGGGGGTGATTTAGAGAAGCCTGTAGCTTTCATGTGTCCACAGACGAGCGTCTAGCCGCTACCGGACGGTGGCTCCCTTGTGCTATACAGGGTACCTCTTATTTATGTTTCTGTCCTGTTGTATGGGTGAAGGCTGTTTGGCGAATACAGCTGAAATGTTGTAGCTGGATTCTACATCTATTACATATTATTTTCTAGCATGTAGTTCATCCTCTTCTCCCCCTGCCTTCTGCGAGCGCCTACCTTGTTCTTCTTCTTTGTTTCACTTGAAAAAAAAACTTCTATATCTGCAATGCTGTCTCTTATTGCAAAACTAAACCAGCACCCCCCCCCCCCCCCTTCCCATTTGATTTTACTATACATTATCACATTCAGTAGTTTGCTACTGTCACTGCATGGTTGGTTCTCAATACCTTCATCGAAATCAACGCAATGCGGTCTGCTGCAAAACCATCAGCAGCTGGAACAGAACCCAGAATCTTTGAATTACAAAGCGCTTTCGCAGCGTCGACGCCACAGACGCCGACACTGCTGCAACCCTCCAGGAAAAACGCCATGGTCTACTAGCTCCATATACTCGCTGCACCAATAGCGTGAGAAGGGTCCTATGCTACTTGTGTTAAACAACACAGCCCGAACACGACTCAATTAAGCACGTGTTTATTCCTGGCTAGCGCCAGAATTTAAACAAACCCCAGGGAAAAGAGATCGGGAAATCAAAGATGCCAACTTTCTGCTTACAATAAAAGATGACGGTGAAGGTCGGGGGGAGTGCTCGTTTGATAAACAATTTACTTTTCTTACAGAATCGGACACATCTAACCCCATGCGTGTTTGTTTTGGAATAGCTTAATAAGATCTGCATCAAACCTTGGGACATTCAAAAGTATGATTTCAAAATATGTTTGAAGAAAACAGCGTGGGGAAAAACGTCTGTCATACTGGCAGAGAGAAGATTACTGAGTTCGTGTGAAGGAACGCAAAGTTGGACTTTCAATGTCTCGCAACGTGGGATATCTTTAACAACAGCGATTAGAGACATCTACATGGACGTGTAAAAGCAAATCGGCTCCGGGAACTCCTCGTGTAGGTTTCTATGCCTTGGAGGAGGTGAGGCGGGGGAGTGGAGGGAGCACAGAACTCACTGCTGCCGCTTTATTATCTTTTGAATTTCGTCAAGGCGGCTTTTTAACGTTTGCAGAGTCATGAGTTGTAAACCCCTTTGGCTCGGTACTATGGATGATTCCACTATCTGTACCGTTTTAATCTGGGAGAAATGTGGCTTTTCTGCCTACCCCCGGGAGTGAAGGACCACAAGGAGTTCAGGACCCGGCCGCCGTGACGTACTAAAACCAACTTCGCTAGAGAGCCGGGCAACCGCTTTATGTCGTCAAAGGCGGCTATGTAAGGGTTTGCTGAAGTCTGATGTATTGGGACGAAAGACGCTGTACTATCTGTACATACCAACATAGCATGCCACGCCCCTTTTAGGAGAAAACACGGAAGGCAACGTGACTACTAATACCACTTCAGACACATGGACAGATGTGACGTCTACCACGGCAGCTTTAATCAGACTATTCTTGGCCAACATTTAATTACCAGTGTCAATCACGGACCCTTGCTATAACTAATGACGGCAATATCACAACAACTGACATGTGCTGTCTTTGAAGTTACAATGAGAGGATACAATTAAAATGTCAGAAATTCGAAAGCTAGGACTGAAACAATCCGTCGATTCAGAGAAGAGGGTCGGCTGATGTGGCTTGTGAAGGTCGAGATGTCGTGATGACCCAGGAGTAACACGCTGGCCTGGCATACTGCCCCGAAAATCAGGTTCACGCTGGTGTGGAACTGGACTCTTTAACTGACCGGAATCTCAAGCCGAACCAGCCTAAAATGGATACAAGAAAATTCCCAAGAAGTAAAGGCGGCCTGTGCGATGCTATCGGATTACACATTAGATAACAAATAACCCAGCAGCAACTGACACGCGTGAACTGAGCGCCTGTCGTCAAACAGATTCGTCACCTTTGCAGAACAAACCAGCAAAGTAGACTGACCGTCTCGCGTCTAAGCTAATGTATAATACATAGGTAGACAGGTGTTTAGTCCGACTGACAGGCGTTTAGTCCGATTGACAGGTGTTTAGTCAGATTAACAGGTGTTTAGTCAGATTGACAGGTGTTTAGTCAGATTAACAGACCGGCAGCCAAAATGTAAGAGAAACAAACAAGCAGAAAGATTGTGCCAGAAACACATAAATAGACATTCAGAAATACAGATGGCAGACTAAAAAAAAAGAGACGAGTAGACAGGCAGTAAGAGTTAGGCAGAGAATAAGAAAGACTGGTAGATAGGGGTGACATAAGGACCGACAAAGTAGGAGAAGCTAGTAATCGGACATAGAGAGGGGGGAGAACTTCACTTTTTACATACAGATAAGAGAGACAGACAAGCAGCTAGTAAGAGAAACATATAATTATGAAAAGCGACAGATAAACAGTAGTAAGAAAGATAACAATATGAGGTATACAGAGATATAGCAAGGAAAACAGTAAGACGGAGGGACAGACAAGTAGGTGGGTGGTAGATACACACATAGAGAGAGAGAGAGAGAGAGAGAGAGAGAGAGATGATCGTCACAGTTCAGCTAAGACCATACACTTACATGTAGACAGGTGCTTCAGCTAAGACGGAGGGACAGGCAGACAGGTGGGTGGGTAGAGAGAGACAGAGAGAGAGAGAGAGAGTCACAGTTAGCAGCGTCAACCATACACTTACATGTACCGGCTTCAGCTAAGACAGAGGGACAGGTAGGTGGGTGGGTAGAGAGAGAGAGAGAGAGAGAGAGAGAGAGAGAGAGAGAGAGAGAGAGAGAGAGAGAGAGAGAGAGAGAGAGAGAGAGAGAGAGAGAGAGAGAGAGAGAGAGAGAGAGAGAGAGAGAGACTCACAGCCAGCAGCGTCAACCATACACTTACATGTACCGGCTTCAGCTCAATGTAATCCTTGCCTCCATCCAATGACCGAATAATGAAGGACATCTCACCGACGCCTGGCAACCCCCTGACAACAAAGTCAACCTGCCCGCCGTACACCCAGCACCGTACACTCAGCACCAGTTCTCGTAAATAGAACAGTGCCTGCTTCGACTCCTCGCACTTCTATCCACACCACCACATAATCACACCACCAGAGTTATGACACATATAAGCTCCAGTGTTTTATATACAGTATATATTTTTGGGGTCAGACCCGAAGTTTCTGAAATCTGTGTGCTCCCAGTCAGGATTACGAATTCTAAAATCTATATTTCAATTCTCATACACATATTCTTAATTCTCAAATCTATATTTCGATTCTGAAATCTATATTTGTCAATTCTTTAATCTAAACGTCAACTCTGAAATTTGTATTTTTATTCTGAAATCTATGTTACTTGTCATATTCAGAATTTTGAAATCTATATTTCCCTGTCATATTCAGCATTCTAAAATCTATATTTCCTGAAACATTCGGAAACCCGCAGCTATACTAAGTGCCGGAGTCGTCAACAGCAAGGCGGCGCTTCACAAACTGCATGACGAGGACAACATAGGTTAGTTGCGTATCCTTTACAGCCCCTGACTGTTGTGTGGTTTTTCTAGGCAAATTTACGTCCAGTAGTTTGCCACTGCTTTTCTGGACGGTCGGTTTTCTTGATACCACTGTCGAAACCAACGCAAGGCCCATGGCCCGCAGCTGGGATCGAACCCGGCATTCCGGCATTACGAGCGATGACGAGTGCCGACGAGGACAACATGCAACCAGTAAATGCGTTAGCAAACAGTCTATACTCCTTGCCAAACTTACAAGATGATCAAATAGTTATCATGCTTTAAAAAGCATTTTTTACGACAGCGTCACATCGGCCAGATAAAGCTACTCACATTACAGTATTATCTCGACTCACGAACTGAATGCCTTCCTGACTGCGGTTCGTATCGCGAAACCCAACTTTCCTTCCCTGACTGCAGTTCGTACCTCGAAACCTAACTTTCATTCCCTGACTGCAGTTCGTACCTCGAAACCTAACTTCCCTTTCCTGTCTGCAGTTCGTACCTCGAAACCTAACTTCCCTTTCATGTCTGCAGTTCGTACCTCGAAACCTAACTTCCCTTTCCTGTCTGCAGTTCGTACCTCGAAACCTAACTTCCCTTTCCTGACTGCAGTTCGTACCTCGAACCCTAATTT